TTGGCTAATATTTTCTAGACCCCAATAATATGGGGCTTGCACATTTTAAATAGGATGGGGCCCAAACACAATGACTGACGGACAATCTCTAAAGGGACGAGTCCTGTTGCTAATTTGCTCAGGTTTGTATCAGGTCTCTATCAAGCCAGCCTGGCATTTTTTCTATAAGTTGCCAGGGGTGAGGATTCCTTGTTTCCCCAGCCCCTCGGCAGGGGTGGGACAGTGATAGTAGCCTCCCCCGGCTAAGGAAGAGAGAGAATTTTTATTTGTTAACAGTTAGGGGTGGAAGGTCCTGGGACGGTTGGGGTTTGTTCTGAATTCAGTGCTGCAGGCTGCCGGCTGGGAGAACAAAACCCAGGGTGATGAGGCCATTGAGCAGCCGCGAGGCCCAGCGGAAGGGAGGGCGGTTCTATGGCGGACGGGCGGGTGGTTTGTGAAGTGTGACGCACGGGGGTTGGGAGGAGTGCAACACTGGAGGAGGATTTCAGGGCAGTTCTTGGGACCCACCAGGTGCTAGAATCTACAAGACCTAGTAGCTGACACTCGGCATCTGTCTCTGTGTCGTGGTCCATCTGGCTCCCGTCTACTGTCCCAGGAAAAAGGTTGGTGTCTCACAGTGCTCCAGCCACCCCAGCAGAGGGCGACAAGTACACGCTATTTACCCACAGAGAGTGACCAGCAGAACCTGCTCCTCAGCCATCAGACTCCCCTGGGTTCGCTCTGGGTGACAGGGGAGTTCCCTTTTCACGGCCATTTCACTTACAACAGTGGTGGTGTTATTAGAGTCACCAGATGGGCCTGTCTCAGCGAGTGGTACAAGTTCTCTTGAACTGACTGTGAGATCTTGGCATGGTCCTTTTATAACAGCTGATCATATACCAGAAACAATCTGTTCACTTCTTAGTCTCCCTAGAGCAAGACAGAAGAGCTCAGCATTGCTAGACAGAGAGACGTTTTATAAGAGATATACATGGGCAAGGATTACGTCACCCACTCCTGCAGTGCAGCCACCTCTGCAGAACATTCCTGGGCAACTTTTGGTAGCACAAACTGACATTAAACGTACGTGTTAAAAAAATCTTTATAATTCTGTGTCCAGCAGCTACACCAGACTGGTTATTTATAAATCTACAACCTCACTCAATGCACCTGGGTTCTTTCAATGTTCTATCTCACCCCTACCCCGCCCAATCTGTCTGCACCAGGGATTGGAAAGGAAGCAGCTCTTTGAACACCACAGTCCGGTGCATACACAAGTGAAGATAAATATGTATCAGTTACTTCATTCCAGTGTAGACAGTTCACAGTGCAAATGCCAGGAGATGTCGCCCTCAGGGGCCCCATTCGTAACTGATCCCCATCACTGAGCTGCAGAAGACTAGATGGGAAAAATCCAAGTACCTCCCAAATCTCATTCGTATTTTCTTTCCATCTCTGGAGTTTAAGGAGAGATTCACTGTAGTTCCCAGCTCAGACAGCTCAGTTTGTCTTATGAATGAGGCTCTGTGTTAATACGTCCCTTCAACTCCCCTGCTGTGCTGCTATTTCACATGCAGAGGAGCCCGGACTTGGGAAGACCCGGTGACTTGTCAGATATGTGGACACCAGGACTGAGGAGAGAAAGTGTGTGGGTGGGGGGTAGGGTGGGAGCGTCTTTACTCCCACCATGTTGATCTCAATGTGGTTTGTGCGTGTTGTGTAGCTTGATCAGTTTGCAGGCTCGGCCTTTCCTCGTGGGGCTGTTTTTATCAGGCCCAGGGGCTGTTCTTTTCCTGCCCTGGCTTTGTTTGTGTGAAACACCTGAGCTCTGGGACCTAACACCCAGCTCTTCGGGCTCTGAATCTCGCTGGGTTGGCACTGAAGAGTGAGCTGGAATTGAAAGGACCAGACTCCCTCCTCTCAGGGCATCTACTTGGGAATGGGATGTTGAGTGTTTTCTTTGGGATTATAATTGAATCTAGGTACCACAGTGAGGCTCCATAATCCTCGTCCCATGGACAATGAATGGCAAAATGCCCATTGGGTCAAGGGACCCAAGATTTGGCCTTAAATGTGCAGACCCTGATCATCCTTCGTCATGCCCCTCACTGATGACTAGTTAAAGTCCAGCACATCTGCGCGGAGGAGCGTCACACCCGGACACACACAGACTGGAGCCATGCACGGGACGGGCTGCTGGAACACAAGGGTTTGGTCGAAGTTCTCCACCTGGCTGCATCACTGTGCAGCATCAGCAGCCCCACTCTATGTGCCACAGTAATAATCGGCCTCATCATCTGCTTGGACATCGGTGAGGGTTTGATGGTTGTATTAGCCGCATCTTTGGAACCGGAGAAGCGACTGGGGACCCCAGAACCCTGGTGCTTGGCAGCATTGGATTTGTACCACAGAAGATATTTTGGAGCATTTCCAATTTTCTGCTGGTGCCAGGTGGCATGTGTCATCGGGTACCCACTGCGGATGGTGCAGGAGAGTTGAACTGTGTTTCCTAGGGACACGGACATCGAGGGCGGCTGCGTTAGTGTAAACTGGGAGAGCGATCCTGGGAACAAACAGAAAATTCTTTATTAACATATTTCTTCAGGAATATGGAGAAAGTCAGAGACAGATGAAATTTAAATTAAAGCAGGGAACAGAAACCCTTTCCTCACCCGAGCAGTAAGTGAGCAGTGGGAGGAGCAGAGGGGCCCAGGCCATGGTCGATCCAGATGAGTTTGGCTTCCTGAGGCAAATGGGTCTCTGGCTGGAACCCTCCGATTCTCTCTTAAACCCAGGGGTGAAAGTAAGTCTAGGGACGTACCGGTATGGGGCTGGGCTGGGGCCAGCTCTGGCCTCCGGAAGGGGCGGGGCCTCAGGCAGAAGGGGCGGGGCTGGGGGAGGTCAGAGCCAGCCCCGGCCCACCCTGTACCGGCAAGTTCCTCCTTCCCCCTCCCTGGGGTAACAGCCGCAGCTGGAGGCTCTGGCAGCGGTTTAAAGGGCCCAGGGCGGTAACGGCGGCCGAGTCCTGGCCCCTTTAAATCGTCCCCAGAGGCTCGCCGTTGCTTCCCCAGGGCTCCGGCAGCAGGGCTCCGGTGACGGGGCTCCGGCCGCCACTACCGCCCCGTGCCCTTTAAATCGTCCCCGGAGCCTGCCGGAGCCCTAGGGAAGGGCCCAGGGCTCGGCCGCCGCTACCGCCCCAGGCCCTTTAAATCACCGCCCCAACCCCGCAATTTAAAGGGCCGGGGGCTCTGGCAGCAATTTAAAGGGCCGGGGGCTCCAGCCACTGCTGGGAGCCACAGGCCCTTTAAATTGTGCCTGCGGAAGCTGATCCACCCCGGTATGGTGCACCGGCTCTTGCCGGTACGCTGCACCGGGACATACCAGCTTACTTTCACCTCCGCTTAAACCCCCAGAGGTGGAGATCGGCCCCTACATGCAAGTCTGCTCCCTGGCTGCTGCTGGCACCTCCCTCCCGCTATGCGAGGGGCAGAGGCACAGGGAGACCCTCTGTATAAATCACCCTCTGTCCAGAAGCAGGGGAGGACTGAGGGCAGCGGGGAGTCAGCTCAGACACAGGTGTCGGAGCTGGGGCTAGTTTCACTGGCAAAACCAAAGTGGGGATGGGAGACAGGTCTGGACGTGTCGGCTGCAGCAGAACTGTGCAGGAGCAGGTCAGCCCAGACTCAAAGCCCCTGTGGGAGCCACTGGGTCAGAGGGGCTGGTGATGGCATTAGAAGAGAGGAGTGACGGGGTTGGAGTCTCAGGAAGGGGAGACGAGTTCAGTATCTGCACTTTGCATCGACTCAAGGTGAGTCACGTTGGAGTCAGGGTGGCCAAAGCAGAGGATGTCACAGGAATCAGGGCGACAGCGGATCAGGGCCAGGTTCCATGTACCGTGTGTCAGGTAAGAACAGGAGGGGACTCCATGTTTCCAAAATGAAACTGGCTCTTCACTCACAGAACTGGTTACAGAGACGCTGCAGCTGCTGCTGACATTCCAATCATGTGCACACAGACTGGCCTCCCGGTGCCTCCTCCAAACTCTTCCTCCTGCAGCCTGAGCTCCCCCCTCCAGCTTCCCTGCAGGTTGCTCCAGGACAAGCAGAAAGAGTCTGATTGTCTCAATGCTGCAGAGGAAGAGGTGGCGAGATGTGATGAGGTTGAATGAGTGGAGGAGCAGGAGGTGGTGGTGATGGGGGGCAGGAGTCTAAGATGACCCCCACGTGATCGCTGGCATTGGAGAAGGCACGAAATTGAGGGGACTGAAGAGTTACAATGAGAAGTTTGGGCTTGGCTGTGCGTAGCTGGAGCTGGCAATGAGCCACTGGAGTCAAGAGTTAGAGACAGCCACGTGCATGGTGCTGGCTGGAGGGGAGCCAGTCACACGTGGAGAGGGAGATTTGTGAGTCCTGAGTACAGAAATGATATGTGAGGCAATGCGGGAGGGGGTCGCAAACCCAGGGAATGGGGTGGGGGGGAAGAGGCAGGGATGAGGCCAGAGCCCTGTGGAGTCCCCCAGAGAGGGGGAGAGGGGAGGAGACATCGCTGAGGTAGCAGAGAAAAATGGGGGGAGAACTAGTCCCCCGTGTCTACACTATTGTTCCTCGGGAAATCTCCTGCTGTTACACCCCCTGGGTACAAGCAGTAATGGGAGCCTGTAACGATGCTGGTTCTGCTGGGACCCAAATGAGAGTGCCAATTCAGGACAAATTGCTTAAAGCAGGGCAGTTGCAGCCCAAGGCTGGGGTTCCTTTGCACACCAAGGCAAACCAAAGCAGCCAAACAGAGAAGACTTCGGTTTTGCCCTCCTGGCTAACCACAATCATACAAGCAATTCCCTTAGACACTCCAGTTTCCCAGTATCACCACCAGTGCCCCTTGTTATGGGGACACATGGTTATGAAAACCAATACCCCGGTAAAAGAAAAAAGGGTTCTCTCGATCCCAAAGGACCAAGCCCCAGACCCAGGTCAATGTACAAATCAGATCTTACCCACCAATCACGCTGTTGCCAATCCTTTCGACTCTAAAATCTAAAGGTTTATTCACAAAAGGAAAAAGAGATAGATGAGAGGAAGAGTTGGTTAAATGGAACCAATGACATACAGTAATGGCCAAGTTCTTGCTTCAGGCTTGTCGCAGTGATGGCACAAACTGCAGGTTCAAATCAAGTCTCTGGAGAACAGCCCCAGCTGGGGTGGGTCACTCAGTCCTTTGTTCAAAGCTTCAGTGTAGCAAAGTCCCTCCAGAGGAATGAAGCAGGATTGAAGACAGGACGGATGTGAGGCATCAGCCTTTTATAGTCTTTTCCTGGTGTAAGAACCCCGCTTTGTTCTTACTGGGGAAAATTACAGCAAAATGGACTTTGGAGTCACATGGGCAAGTCCCTGCATGCTTTGCTGAGTCACAAGGCGTATCTGCCTTCTCTCAATGGGTCAGTTGTAGATCTGATGGTCCTTAATGGGCCATCAAGCAGGCTAGGTAGAGCTGACACCAACTTGTCTGGGGTGTCACCCAGAAGCACAGCATAAGTTTGAAATACAGACAGTATCGATCCAATATTCATAACTTTAACTACAAAAATGATACACACATATAGACAGCATAATCCTAACCAGCAAACCATAACCTCTCCCTAGACCCCTTACAGGGCAACCTTTATACAATATTTGCTGCAAATATATAAGCGTGGTTGCAACAGTGATCTATACAGTTACAGATTATGTCAATAACGTCACAGAGCCTGAGTGTAGACAGTGTATTACCCCCATGATACCTAAGCCTGCTCAGAGCAGGGGGCAGGGCTGTGGGGGAGGGCAGTAGTGTCAGGCCAGGCTCTAGAGGATGGGGGTCAGGGAGGAGGGGGAGCTTTGGGACACAGCCACCAACACTCCTGCTTTGGCTAGGACAGCCCCGGCCTTTCCCGCAGCAGGACACTGACTCCGCAGCCAGCAGATGAACTTTTCTATTGAGGTTCTTATGCCGCACCCATCCCTGCGGTACCTGAGCACCGAGACTGGCCCACGGGGAACTAGACATGGCCACGGGCCAGTGGCTTGCTGGACTGCAGGGGCTGGGAGGAGCAGGGCCATGGAGGCACTAATGAACTTCTGGAGGGGACCAGGGAAGCTGCCAAGCAGCTCGGATAGGGCCAGGGAGGAGGTTCTAGGGAGGAGGGATTTTGATATCATCTATTATCTGATACACCCTGTGTCTGGACACTTCATCCAGCCCCGGCAACTGGAATGGACGAAGGGATCTGAGAGGTCTTTCCTACATTTCCTCTAACTTCCAGGCCATTCAGGGTGTTGTCCAGCTCGTGGGATAACACGGGGGAACTATGTTCAGGGAGACGTGTCTCTTTACCCAAGGAGCTTGTGGCCATCTGCTCCCCGTGAGAACCAGGCAGTGGTGGGTCTGTAACCCGGGGATCCAGAAGGCTGGAAAAGCTGCTCCTTGTAAAGAGACTGAGTTGAAAGCATAAGAGCGGCTGCCATCTCCCCAAGAGAGAGTGAATGGAGAGTGGGTGGAGCAGCGCTCCCTGCTGACAGCAAGTGGCTGAAATTCCAAAGAAGGAGCCATCAGGGTCTCATGAATTGAAGAGAGGAAGCAAACTGCGCAGTCAGTGCAGAGCCCAGGCTGGAGGGGATGAAGACAGGGGAGGTTTTTGTCTCAGTTCCCCGTTTGGCTGGATCACTGTGATTCGCACTACTAGCCCACACAGCACAGTAATAGTCAGCCTCGTCCTCTGCCTGGACACCGGTGATGGTCAGGGCAGCGTTGTTACCGGAGATGGACCCCGAGAACCGGGCAGGGATCCCGGAGGGTCTGCTATTGGTGCTGTATATAAGCAGCTTCGGAGCAGAGCCAGGTTTCTGCTGGTACCAGTAGGGATAGTTGCTGGTGGTGACGGCTCCAGTGCTCAGGCTGCAGGACAGAGTGACAGCCCCTCCTGGGGCCACCGACATCGAGGGCTCCTGAGTCACCACGGGCTGCGAACTGACCCCTGAAATCAACAGTACAAACACACTCAGCACAAGGACTCTGGATCCTCACAGACAAACCTCCTCCCCGGCAAGTGTCCTTCATATTTTGGTCACTAAAGGAAACAATCCCCTCACCTGAGCAATAAGTGAGCAGTGCGAGGAGCAGAGGGGCCCAGGCCATGGTGGATCCAGATGAGCTCGGCTTCCTGAGGCAAACGGGTCTCTTATGGGACCCTCTGAAATCTCTCTTAAACCCCCAGCGCTGTAGAGCGGCCCCTTCATGCAAATCTCCTCCCTGTTTATTGGCTGCTGGTTTTTTAAAAATCTTAGTCCTGAGTTTTAACGAATACAAAGACGCTCACATTTCAAATTTAACTTCCAGTTTTGGCTTCATTTTAAATAAGATTTTTTGGTAAAAAAAAAGTACCTCCCTATAAATTTGTACATTTTCAATTATTATTTCATGTTCAAATTGAAATAGGTTTTGCTAGTATCATTGAATAAAGGGGTCCTTACTTTAACATACTCCTTAAATAAAATTAACACAACCAGATGGTGCTATCACACAGACTGACAAGTTCTCTCTAACTGCCTGTGCAGGGAGCTAGATCTGGGAGAAATGTTTGTTTTTACTTATGGGGAATCACAGTTTGACAAGCTGCGCATGTAGCAGAGTAAATCTGGTCACTACTTTGTCTCTCTGACCAAATAATTTCTTCGTCCGTAGGCAGCAGTTGCAACTATCTGCATGGATGGAAACGTAAATATCACTTGGTGCCAAACACTTTGTAATGACTGTCAGCTAGATTATCCCCAGGGATTGAACAGGAGCACTGTGGAGCTAAAGCAGGAGCCTCCTATATCTTGAGCCAAAGGACTAAGGGGCAGATTTTTAAAGGTGCCTAGTTACATCTTTAGACACCTGAATCCCTTTACAAATCAGGTCCTAAATCCTGTTCTTGGTATCTGCGCTATGTTTTGGACAGACGGGGATGCGTGATCCCCACTGAATGGGGGGTGATGCTACAACACCTCCCTGTGGCCTCTTGTCCCTGGCTTTTCTAGCTACTCCCCTGTCCCCCTTGCTCCTCACAGTGAGAGAGAAACAAACTTGGATCATTCCCGCCGAGTCAGACTCACTGGGAGAAACCCAGCGGGCGGGTGGAAGGGGATGTCAGTTCCATGTGGGCACAGCTGGGGGTGCTCAGCTTTGAATTTGGCCTTTACTCTGTGAACGGCCGTTACTGGCTGCTGGGAGGAGTCGTTAGCGTCACGTTAGTGCAGCACGTCTGACGTGTGGAGAACAATGGACGAGCTTTGCATCGCTGGGCACACAGATATTTTCTATCACATGCCCATGGGGAGGGGTCACTGCCACCATCACTGCCATGCAGCCGGGCCAGCTTCCCCCACACGGCCCCTCACGCGTGGATGCGCCCCCTGGAAACACCCCCAGAACTAACTCATTCCCCTCCTTCCACTCTCCCTCCAGCTCTCCTTTGCCATGATGCCTACAAACAAATTGCCAGCAGTGAGGCCGTGGGTGTGCTGAGACCCTTCCCATCCTGCTGCCAGGATTGTCTCCTTGCTGCCTTCTGCTCCCCACAGGCCGGTCTGTAACCACGTCTTGTCTCACACTGAGATTGTTCCCTCCTTAGCCGGGACCGTCTTTGTGTTCTGTGTTTGTACAGCGCCCATCACAATGGGGACCTGGGCCATGACCTGTCCTCCCAGGGGCTACAGAAATACAGATACATAATAATCACAGTGATGTAGCCACCTCTGAAGGACATTCCTGGGCAACATTTTGCAGAGGTGTTCAGCATTAAATGTAATGTCAGTTAAATTACGCGTAAATAAAAAACATTTTGCAAATAAATATCCAGCAATTACAATTAGAAGTAGTTCATAATTCTGCAACCTAAATCAGTACAATTGGGTGCCTCGGACCTCCTGTCTCTCCTCCTCCCCCACCACTCAGTCTGAGTGAGGGATCTGAAAGGACGCAGCTGTTCAAACACCATGGTCTGTGCACTAGACCCTTGAAGACAAATGTGCATTGAACAGTTACTTTATTCCACTAGAAACTATTCACAATACAAGTGCAGGGTGACAGCGCCCCCTGGTGCCCAATCATAACTGAATCACATCACCCATCTGCAGAAGCGTAGATGGGGAAAATCCAGGTGTATCTCAAATCCCGTTTTATTCTCTCCAGTCTCTGGAGTTTAAGGAGAGCTTCATTACAGGTCCCAGCTACCTACAGCCCAGTTTGCTATTTGTGAGTGTGGCTGCGTGTTACTGTGTCCTTCCAATTCACCTTCTGGGCTAATATTTACATTTAGGAATAGCTAGGACTTGGGAACCCCTGTGACTTGTCAGATACAAGTATAGCAGGACTGGGGTGAGTGGTGTGCACTATTCCCCCTCAGCTGTGCATGTGCACACACATCCTAAACCCCGCACACACGGCGAAACACTGCACGCACAAAAAATGAAATACTACATCGGAGCCAGGCCGACATATCATTTACAGGCAACTTTTGACATTGTTCGCCCGCCATCTATCAACGCAGCCAGATTCTACTAGCTGGCAAGGGGGGCAAAGGGAAAGGAGGGCAATGAATCGTACCTCTCCCCTCCAGCATTTGGAACGTGGAACGCTGATCACGTCGGGACGGTCGGGACCCACACATCTCCATTTTCCCACGTTTTTTGGCTGCAGATGCACGGACGTGATCGGAGCTAGGCACAGACTTCCTGTATCCTGATCTGAATGATCTCCCATTTGCCGTTTTATCTAGTCACACTGTTAAGCACATTGAAATAGTAGCCATACAATAAAAGTATTAATTTTAAATAAACCAATCTGGTAAAAAATCAATCCCAAAATGTCACTGTCTTGAGGTCTAAAGCGTAAAAGAACAGCGACTTCATTTAAATCTGGATGGCTGGATGAGACTATAGAGACAGTTACACCGAAGTCACATAGTGTAATGCTTGTTAAACTTCATGAAATATTCATATATCATGAGGACAACGGAGTGGTTTGTGTATATTGTCGAGATGCCAGAGCTTCGGGAGAATTTTCAACAGGAAGAATGTGGAACGATGTATGGACGTTGGATTTCTTAAAGCGTCATCTATCAAATCCCTGTGTTCAAAATACAAAGACTTTTTTGCTGAAGAGATTGTTATAGTCAGTCAGTACAATGACTTCAAGTTTGCAGTAGCTGAAAGAATCAAAAGCCAATTGGTTTTAAGTTTCCCAGATATGGTGACATTTGCTCACCAGAACGAACAGTTTCAGGATCTTGCAAAGTTGATGGATATTGGAGGAACATTCCTAGCATCAAATGCAGAATGTGAGCGTGGCTTTAGCTTAATGAACACTCTAAAAAACAAACTATGGAATCGTTTACAAGTAGCTCATTTGGACATGCTGATGTGTATTCAGAGTTACCAGCTGGATGGAGGACTGATGGATCTGGACAGAGTTTACATTGAATGGGCAAATGAAAAAGATCGCAGGAAAAAACAGTCAGGTTAGTTTAGCAGTCTTTGACATTTTGACCAATAAGGAAATTAAAATGCATTTGTAATTACATATCTTATTCTTGGCTGATAATCATTTATTGGGGTTTTTTTAGGAACATTTTAAATTTAAAACACAAACTCTTGTTTTTCTTTTTTTACTTATGATGTCTCTATTTGAAAACCCACATAAATTGACATAATGGCATACTTATTAAATTGTCTTTATTATATGTTTATCAAAATCTTTTCAGACATGTGTATAGAATGAAAGGTGAAAGTGGACACCAACGGGCAGAAGCCTATGGACTGATAATGATCATGATTAATATGTGCTTGATATATGCTCATGATTGTCTATAAAAAAGATCATAAAGCGTAGTGCTTAAAACTAACTTCTGCTTCATGAAGAATGGTTACATTTCCTTTTCCTAAGTATTTAAAAATGACATTTATAAAATAACGTGGTGTAAAACTATTATTATCACAAGTTGCAAATTAAAACTTTTTAAATGTATAAGCATTTTACTCACTTGGGCGCATTTGCCTCCTGGTATACAAATTTGAACTCTGCTTCAAAAATTTGCACAGAAGAACCATTTGGGGCACACGGCAAAAATTAGAGGGAACATTGGTGGTGGGGTCTTTACTACATGGTGGCTTCTGTGTTTTGTTTAACCAGGCCATTTTGCAAGCTCAGCCTTAACTAACAGGACTGTTCTTATCATGGCAAGGATCAGTTTCTTATCTACCTTGGCTCTGCTTTTGTGTGAAATGTCTGGGCTCTGGGATCTGACACCCAGCTGTGCGGGCTCTGAGTTTCATTGAAGAATGAGCTGGCATTTAACAGACAGATACTGCCTCCTCTCAGGGCATGAATCTGGGAACTGGAGTTTGGAATGTTTCCTTTAGGATTATAACTGAATCTTATTGCTGCTGCCAGGCTGTAGAGGGGGTGGGGTCAAATCCTGGTCCCACTGAAGGAAATGATAACACTGCCATCCAGTGCAGTGGGACAAAGACTTTGCCTTAAATTTTCAGAGGTTGATCAAGTTAGTGAGCTGCCATCACAGGGGAGTGGGACAGCACATGGGGACACCTCAGTAATTTCAGATTGGCTGAATGATCATATCTTAACGCTGACACGATGGGCTCATGCAGCGTTGGAGGAGGGAAGAACAGGATTTTGTCTGAGTTCCCCATCTGGCTGTGTCACTGTGCAGCACCATCACTGGTCCCTGCACCACAGTAATAGTCAGCTTCATCCTCTGCCTGGAAGCTGGTGATGGTTAAGTAGCCAGTTGTCTTCAAGGCGTCTTTGGAACCAGAGAAGCGACTGGGGACCCCAGAGCCCTGGTGCTTGTCCAAGTCAGTGTTGTACCTCAGAAGGTATCTTGGGCTGTTCCCATCTTTCTGTTGGTACCAGGTGACACTTCCAAATGTGTATCCACTGCTCAGGGCGCAGGAGAGTTTAACTGTGTTGCCAGTGGACACTGACACTGATGGCGGCTGAGTCAGAGTAAACTGGGAGAGGGAACCTGGAAAGAAATAGAAAATGCTGCAACATCATCATGGCCTGGAGTTAACGCCTGCACGTTTCCTGCTGAGCCAGGAGTCTGGGAATCAGGAATACGGAGGAATTCAGAGAAAAGTCCTTCTAAATAAATCTGAGATCAGAAACCCTCCCCCTTACCAGGGCAGTAAGTGAGCAGCGTGAGGAGCAGAGGGGCCCAGGCCATGGTGGATCCAAACGAACTTGGCTCCCTGCAACAAACAGGTCTCTGGCGGGGACCCTCTGATTCTCTCTTAAACCCCCAGTGCTGGAGAACGGCCCCCTCATGCAAATCCTCTGCCTGCTCACTGGCTGCTGCTGTAGAGTTAGTGTACACCAGGGGGGTTCTCATTAGAGTTCTTTGTCCCTCCTCCCCCCGCCCGCCAACTCCAAGCAGCTCCTGATCTGAGTGTGTGCTTACCTCGTATTGGTCACTGCTGGTTATTACTTTCTGTTCAGCACCTTGAGTCCTGTGTTCTTCTCAGCCTTCTCCCTTTTGTGTTTTGGGCTAATATTTTGTAGACCCCAATAAGACGGGGCCCAAACACAATGACTGACGGACAATCTCTAAAGGGACGAGTCCTGTTGCTAATTTGCTCAGGTTTGTATCAGGTCTCTATCAAGCCAGCCTGGCCTTTTTT